TTTTTGTACTTATTGTCAAAAGATCTAACAATATCAATCTTCAGGCAGAACTAAAATGTAACTACTCGTATGAAAGATGACAAATAATATGAAATGACAATAGCATATCAACTAGAATTCCCAAGAATGCTTCATTGACAACTGAGATTCACACCTGACAGATAAATATTCCACTGTCTACGAGACACGCCACACCCTTTCGGTTCTCTACGCATGTGGCTTGCTGTATCTCGTGCATCCCCGATGTTATGAGAGATATTATTTATAGGATTGTCTTGAATCTAGCGACGAAATTAAGCGAAGCTTTGATTTTTATAGAATTGTACTCGTAGAAGTTTTTGAGGTTGAAATAACATTGCCTATATTTTAGGCTATTTCTTCTTTGAATACGATTCTATGCTTTAGTCAACCTGGACCCTTGTTACATAGCTTTTTCTTGGTAGTAATTGGCTATAATCAAGCTATCCCACTTCCTGATTAGTTAGAGCAATGAAAATCAACCCTTCGGAAGTGGGACCCTACCCTAATAGATGGGGTAAAGATGATGAAAAAAATGGGAGGTCAAATCTTAGCTGGATAGATTGGAAGAAAATATACTGAAAGCGATGTAAGGTAACATGTACTGGAAATACTGGCAAATATCTGCTCCTGCATCCGATGATGTTGTGCACTTCGGAGTAACTCTGTTTAAGATGAGCTGAAAATCTACTTAGTCGAATCTGGTAGCCTATACTGTGGTGGTATAGTTACAGCCAGATCGCTTCATCGCTTCGTCCAAACTTGGATGGGGGAAAACAGAATAGAGCGAAGTAATAAGATATCAAGGCTATAACTAGAGACGCGTATAAAAACTAATTCAATTCTCTCAAAATCCTTTCTAACAAAGCAAAGAAGTATGTCATCGCAGACAAATACATGGACAAGACATCCGAGTGCCCTTTAACCAAAATTGTGAATGATTTTAATTAATAGATTAATAGATATGTCGAGTCCTGCCAGTACCCTCGATGCGGACTATTTGTATCGCTCCTTCAGGTGTAATGATCGACGACGGCATTGGATAGAAAGCGACAATATAAAACACAGCAAGATAATTATAATTAGAAAAAATAACAGTGATAGCTTGAAAATACCAGAATTTGGCTTACAAGATGTTACTTTTCTACAAGAACAATAAGTCGGTTCATGATATAGTCATATAACGTGGAAACCAAGCGAAAATTCTTGCATCTCAGGCTACGGCGTCTGGGATCTACTCGACTTGTTTTGACTCTTTCCAAGTCTAGATTCTGGAAGTCGAAATACAGATATTTTAGACGAAGATCCACCTCAAGAAACTTAGAAATTGTGGAGTTAGAGAAAAGTATTAATGACGATGAGATCAGAGGGTAGATGATGATCAGGAATCATGAGTGGAATCTACTCGAGTAGGAGCAAACGCGGAGTGGAGGATCAAGTTATAATTCACTTATCATTGTTACCCCTTCTTCGTGTAGCTATCTGCTGCTTTTCTACTAGTATTATATAAACTCCAAGACCTACACGCAATACAACACATTAAGAACAGCACTGCCTGTGTTGATGCCCAGGATTGGGATCTGTGACTTCAATTTTCAAGTTGCTGATTACTCGTAACACTCTAGAGTTGAGTTTCTGATGGAGTTTCTAATATCGTCTTTGAGTTTTGATATAGTTAACGAGAATCAGAATGTAAATGAAAGACGATAAAAGTCCAGAATGGCAATACTGGATTCGAGCTTCTCATTCTCCCTATAGAACTCAATAATACACAATATATCACCGTTATTTACCTCGCTTATCTCCTTCATTTTCTTTTCGTGGCTAGCTCTTTGAAACCAAGTCGAAGCGACAGTTTCTTTCAATCAAAATGTAGACGCCGGGGGCGTTGGCGTATGAACAATTTACGTTCATTGTTCCACGTAAGATACATCATCAACCACGCTTCTCATCTACCTTATATTCAAATAATTTTATATCATTTCATCTGTATCATCTATTATCATGAAAAGGAAATAGTAATAAACACCTTCTAACGACAATGCAAAAGAATAACTAACAATAACATACATAATATTACAGTCCGATTCCGAGTCCTTTTACAATTTTACATTTACTTTCGAAGCGGGAAAAGACAACGGCGTTAGATCTAATAGATATCTGAAGAATAGAATACATCTCAATCTTTTCCGATCCCTATTTACCAATCCATGGCATGCTATGTGATTTATTTATCTAATCGCGACTCTTCTTTTGAAGATTTATATAGAACTCGAAGAAAGATTTGAAAATGGGGAAAGGAAGTAGACAACTTGAATGAATCGACCGCAGATCTAAAGGGTATAATTCACTCCTTCCGAGTCTTCACCTATCTACGAGTAAGACTTTTTATAATCTCATACGTGTTTATATAAAACTTATAGTAACCATTTAGAAGATTAAAGTTCTAAAATACTGAGGGATGTCAGATGAAAATGAAGATTTTGATAGCGATTCAATCATGTTCGTTCTTTGATATGTCTCGAGTATATGATTATTATATATCAGCGGGCACGACCCCGACCACCTACTAGCACATTCCCATTATATCAGTACTAGCATTAACTTAGTTCATTTAGCTATCAGAAAAGGATTCTTCCTTTTCCTCTTCGTAGATAACTTCATTTACCAACGTGCCCCTGTACTAGTTTCACGTGCATCCCCTTTACATTATAATCAGCTAGAATCTCGTCTCGCTTTTTTATACAGAGATATCGATGCAATATCATGCTTCGTGCTACTATGGAAAAACGAAAAAAAAAAAGCGACAACGGTATTTCTCTCATGCAAAGCGATGAGGAGAAAAAAAGATTGATAGTAATGTATATATATATATACTGAACAATAAGAATTCTACTAAAACCAAACTTGAAATATCTTGATTCCGTTTGGTTTCCTTTCAAGTTCTAGAAACACCTCTTGACGAATGAATACTATGTAGAGTAACACATAGGAAGAAAGCCTTCGAGCAAAACTTCGGTGACTTATATACTCGTAGGAATAGAATTAAAAGTTTACTGGGAGATAGTATTGTTATAAGATAATAGGTGAGAGCGAATTTAGTTATATATTCAAGAAATTGCTAACAGAATTATATCTTTCTATTTAACTTTACTATATTACCGCTTTTTTCAATTATGTCTCTATTTTATATAAGCTGTAGATGAGCAAAGTATAGATTGTAAGATAATACAGATGTTGATCGAAGTATATAAGTTATTAAGACAAAGAAATGTGGGATTTTGTTGAGGTCTAGAGTATACTAATAGGATTACTTTGAATATTGTTTAGGTCTAGAATACTAATATACCAGAGTAGTATTACTTGGATATTAGAGGTACAAAGAAGTAGTATTTTAGAGTGGAGTGATGTGGAATATTAAGGATAGATTGCAACTAGATTCAGACTACTTGATGGAAAAGTAGGAATGGATAATTAGTTGTTATCGAAGGGAACAAATGACGATAAAACTTTAGGAATTGAGGCAATAAAAAAAGGGCAAATAAAGTGACAATTACAATCCATCTAACTCATTCCATCTCATCCCAACTCATCACCTTCTCACCTCCTCCCATCTTAATCAAGAAAAACCCCAAATAATTCCCAACGCATATCTTTTTAAATAAGAATAAGAAATAAAATCCAAGCAATACCTAATTCTCAGCCTTTTTTGCATTGCCTTAAACATTATCTAGATATTTTGTATCTGTATATCGACAAAGTATGAGACAAATGGAGATTTGATGGCTTTTATAAGAAAGAAATTACTCAGTACACTAAAGTAGAACGATAACTTGAAAGGAACTTGAATCTAAGAGTGTATATAATAAGGTTTGAGAGAAGTGATTGTAGAGAAGAGATCACAATAGTATTTTGAGCAAAGATATAATATACTCGAATAGTGTTAGTATAGAGAAAGAGGAGGGGCTATTGGAACTGGGATAGGATAGATAGTTGGATGATTGAGGATACAAGATGATATGATATATTCCACTCTAGCATCTTCTACTTTCTAGTTACTACTTGAGTAGACCTCGCGATATACAATGTCTAAATCCACTTAACTTTCCAAACTCAAATACGAGTATATCGAAGTGAGAAATACTCAGTTCCGAAATGTAAATGTTCGAATCTCAGTCAGCCTGAGGGGATCCTAATTATAGTATTTATCGAAATCCGATTTAAAGATTAGAGATGTGACGGAACCGACGGCTCTCTTCCTCCCACTGGCTCATACTACGTACGTAGCATGATACGACGGCTCTCTTGGACCTTCCTTTCACAGCTTAGAGCCCTAGCTCTATAGCTCTAGACCTAGGCATCGTACGATGCTTATCTCTAGGACTCTTTCACTCTTCTGGGCCTAGCCCTTATAGCTCCCAAATACCTGTATATATAGTCCTCCTTTTAGCACCCTACATAGCTCTTCACTTGTAGATTCTAAGTACATAATCGGAGTCCTGTTTATACCCTTTTGGTCACAAGAGAGAATATAAAAGAGAATTGTAAGTTATATACCTAGTATAGTTATATTTTTGTCATTATTGTTATTGTGACTATTATAGATGAGGTATAAGAGATAAGGTGAGAAAAAGAAATAGGAATACGAGTACTCGAGTACTGTAGATGATAATAATATCTTAATAAATCAGTAATAACTTCAAATCGGTAGCAAAGTTAGATTAGTAGCATCACTACCACTCACTCATTATATAGTATAGTATACTGCGACTGTGAAGGAAGATAGAACTAAGAAGATGAGTAGCCATCTGATACTAACGGTGAGTACTGAGTAGATGGAAGAATATATGATGGGGGTTAGGAAGTCGATGTTGATATATTCATGCCTTGCTATTTATGTGTTAAATTTTCTTTCCACTCCAAACAAACTCTACCCAATATTCTCTCCTTATCCCCATCACCTCCACCCAAAACTTCTCCCCTCACTTCCCCATCTTATAAAATTCCGGCGCATACTCCACCAACCACCCCCTCTCAATTTTACTCAAATCTCTAATATAAACCTTACCCCCCACCTCCACCACCTCATTAAAGACCACCCACTCACACTTCCGATTAAACATCAAACTACTCGGATGAGCATATAATACCGTTCCACCCCCCACATTCTTAAACGTACCATCTGGTTGCATTTTGGCCGCATGCGCGAAATATCCAGTTGTTAGGCATCTGCGTATTTGTTCACTCTTATCTGGACCACCTACTGATAGCATATTTGGATTTGAAGAGGAAGAGAGGGTTTCGTCGATCGAGATACCGAAGCGTTCGAGGTAGCGTTTGAGTTGGGCGCGGATACTGATGGCTTTTGATAGGGCCTTGAAGTTTAGATAATTGTCGTGGCAAAATCGAGGTTGTTTTTTGCCTTTGGTGATGAAGGATTGGTATATATTGAGTAAAGTAATATGATCACCTTCCTCAACAGCAAATTTCCATTTAGCAGTCTCCATGGCCTTTTTCTCGTCGTAATCGTTGTAGAAGATATTACCTCCTACAGAAGTCATGGCGGCAATTGTGAGAATTTCGGAAAGACAGTTGAAAGAACTGGCTGATAAGAGAGTTTTGGCCATCATGGGTTCGACTGCTAATTCGGCCATACGAGTTCCGAGAGGTTTGGTGAGTTTGGCGTAGGTATCGAGGGCGCCGAGAGAATAGAGAAGTTCGAGGGCGCGGATGATGAGTTCGGCTGGTGGGGAGGTGAGGAAGGGGAAACGGACGATGTTGTCGATACCTAGGGCTTTGAGCTGAAGGATCGTGGGGGCGAGGCTTGATCTTTGGATCTCAGGAACGGTTGCTTCTTCTAGGCTTTGAAAGTTTGCTTCTGTGTAAAGACGAAATGATTTTCCGGGTTTGGTACGACCGGCTCGACCGGATCTTTGGGTTGCGGATGCTTTGGATATTGATGTTGCGGTTAACGTTTCGATTCCGGTAATAGGATTGTAAGCTCGAAGTTTTACGAAGCCACAATCTACAACGTAGAGGATTCCATCAATTGTGACGGAAGCTTCTGCAATGTTCGTAGAAAATATGACTTTTCTGATATTTTCTTGAGGTGGCTCAAAGACAAACATTTGTTGTTCGGTTGAGAGTCCAGCATAAAGTGGTAGTGGCATAAGAACTTGTGATCTTGGGTGTAAACTTGCTGCACGTTCCGATATTGCTTGGACAGCTTTATCTATCTCTTCTCTTCCTGTTAAGAAGACTAGGATATCTCCATCTGGTTCCTTGGTGTGGATATCAAAGACTGTATCGATGGCTTTTTCCAGATAATCTTCAGCTGGAGTTTCTAGGTAGAGAAGATCAACAGGATACATTCTACCTTCCAAACTAATAATTTGACCAATTTTCCCATCATTTTTTGGGCTAATTGCTGAAGAGCTACCTTGAGCGATCAAATCATCAAGAGTTATTGCATCATCAGATTTAGGCTTGACATCCGCATCTGTATCATCAGAAAAGAAATTTAGAAAATCTTCAGCTTGAAGAGTAGCACTACTTATGATGATTCTCAAATCATTTGGACGTCTTTTCAAAATCTTTTTGAGAACCCCCAGAAGAATATCAGTACTCAATGATCGTTCATGAGCTTCATCGACCATGATAACCGAGTAACGTGATAGTAAAGGATCGACCAGAGCTTCTCGTAAAAGAAGTCCATCGGTCAAGAATTTTATCTTGGTCGCAGCAGAAGTGACATCTTCAAATCGAATTGAATATCCAACCTCTTTACCTACTTCACATCCAACTTCTTCTGCAACTCTGATTGCTACGGTAGTTGCTGCCACTCGACGAGGCTAGAAAGTTTTTATTAGATAGGGATTATCAAAGGACTGATAGAAATCATACCTGAGTGACAGCTATTTGTTTCCCATCTGCACACCATCCTGCTTGTTCAAGATATTGAGGTATCTGTGTTGTTTTTCCCGAACCTGTATGTCCAACAACAATAGTAACAGGATATGTCTCGATAAGATAAAGGAGACTTTCACGATGTTGAGCTATCGGTAGTAACGAGGAAGGTTTGTGAAGGGCGGGAATAAAAGTGGATGATAAATCAAAGTCGGCCATAATTCATACGCCTTTATTGTCTTTCCCTGGCATCATAACTAGATATGAGCTGGGAACTGGAAGCGATACAAGGGACAAGGGGACGATGAGGATACGAGAAGGAAATGGGAGAATACGCGGATATTCGAAGTCACGAGTTTTCGGTCGAGGCCAAGGCCAAGGCGGTGAAGTGAGAATTTTGGTTTATTTTATTGATGGCCTCACATGCCTCGTTGAGTGGGTGAGGCATCAACCGATTGGAAGTAAGGATGGATTTGCTCTGATCCGCCGCCAGCTAGCCAAAAATAACGGTTCGGCACGACAACTCCTAATAATAATTTTAAGGGTCTGGGTTCCACCGAACGAGAACGTTGTGGAACATCTATTTCCACCAAAACTACTGATTGCATGTGGTTCTACATAGATAATTCCCTTGTTGAAAATCCGACGAAATTATCATGAATTTCAATGCTTCTTCTTCTAAATCTCTCTTAATTCCCTCATTCAAATCGTTTATATTTACTGCGCATTGCATTTGGTTAAGCAAAAGCACTCGAACAATTCCAAATGTTTAATTCGAATCAATATATTTCAGGATCATGTTAGGATTATTTTAATCTCGCTATCCATATAAATAACCATGGAAGATTCATCGAGCCACTTCTGCACTTCTGTTAAACTATGGACACCGAGACAGACAAGCCTCCTCAAGTAAGTAAGCCCATGCCTATCTATCATATCTTTGTGCCGTTTGTGGAACCTTTTTTGGTATGTGGATATGGGTTTGTTCTAATCGGTCTGGCCTGTGCTGGCTGTTGTGCATACTGAGTCTGGAGTTGGATGATTTGTGGTTTTTAATTAAGGGGAAGATTCGATTGGATAAGCCAATCATAATAAGGAGGTGGTTATTCACGATGGAGAAAGTCTCTCGCAGTGTGAGATTCGCATGCTTTTTTTATGGGGTGAATGGATTGTATAAATCAGTACAGTATATGCAGCAGCAGAGAAGGGAGGGGGATTTGTGTGCTTTGTCAGCGAGGACAAATGATTGAATTAAATTGGAAGATAAATGCATATTACAGAGTACAACGGATATAGCACGAGGTTCATCACCACAACTTTCGGCGCACTGCATTTATACCTTGATAAACCATACCGTTAAAGGATCAAGAAGAGTATTGATGTAAGCTTCCTGGCCAGCCCATGAGACCTATTCTTAAATTCAAGGTTTCTGATATCAAAGACATGCAGAACTTCAAAGAGGAACGTTTGGTAACATTGTCGGAATCCTTAGGATTGTATATTACGAAAATGATAAGTTCTAATATGTGATTTGACCTATCTCATCGATAGGGTGTGAATGTTTCTTGTAATGCGATGCGATATTATTCTTCAGGTTGTCTTTCAGACAAGATAGATGCGAGAGGAGAGGTGTCGGGAGATGTTGTTTCGTGCAGTTGAATATGTATATTGAAATACGTATAAAATGATATAAATAAATATTGTGTCAAGCATTTACATAGCAATAAGTGATAGAGAATGCATTACAAGTGTGTTTGGGCGAGATGTTGTATCATAGCTAAGTATAAACTGTATACTACAGTAATATGAGGAGGACATCACTCACTGCCTCTGTCTCTGCTTCTGCTTCTATCTTTTTAACTTCAATAAACATCTTCTCTATTAAGCATGGAGTGAAATTAATGATTGCGTACCCCTGTCTACATCTGGACTTGTTAGATTTAATGTTCAACATTAATCAAGATATTGAAATCGTGATATTCCATAATTCTATTGATAGAAAGGTTACGATTGGTTGTAGGTATCAAATAAATAAATAGGAGAATAAGAATCATGTTCATGATTATGGAGAAGATAAAAGTAATTGAAGATATAGATACTGGTGTTCGAGTAGGCATACAAGAGATTGTTTAGTTTAGTCTGTTATATTTCGTCCTCTTCTTATTATATCCTAATTCCCTCCATAACCAACTTATCCCCATAATTGAAATTATACATCCTTCATTAACCAATCATCTATGCATACACAAGGATACCCTAGATCGTTTTCAGTTTAATTCACTCTTAATTAATCAGGTAATTCATTATTTTTACCCCTGGTTTAACAGTTTCGTGCCCCTGGCATTAAACTACTTTAGGAATAGTCATAAAATAACCCCAGCTCATCTCTTTAATTCTGGCCCCCCCAATCTATCTCTCTTGTTGTTGCTCGTCTCTCCTCTCTCCTCTCCTCTTCTCTTCTTCTCCTCTATCATCTTCATTTCTTCACCTAAACTTCCCTCTCCTTTCATCTTCTCCTCCCTCAAGTTTCGTCCTTCTCAATCATTACGAACTTCTTCGAGGTTTTGCTTGCTTGCAAGCGTCACATTCCTTTAACACCATAACCTTACTCGTACCTCATCAGTACACTTTCACGAAAACATTTCACTCCTTATTTATCTCCAATATTCCGATCATAGTCATTCTTTCGAGGAGACTCAAACAACAGAACAGTCACAAGCCCAATTCACCCGATCAATACCAATAATTCTTCCATTTTACTTTTTAATTTCATGTCAACCGTTTGAGCCGTTTCATATTGACTGTCATCGAAACGAAGTAAAGATACTTAATTCACCCAATCGATCTTGATCTTGGATCTTTCAATTTTGATATCTCAATTAATTTCTCATTTCAAATACATCATCATTCGAATCGCAGCTTCCTTGGACGAACAAGAAATTCAGGACGACAACAATCACAACAAACTCTGTTTTTAATTTCTAAATCGGTCGCACGTCTTAACCATCTCCTACAAAACTCAACAATTCGGTAGCAGAATTGCTTATGCCAATATGGAGGACCATCAAAGATTAGCAAATATTATTAGGTTGGCACGCCGAGTACCATTAGCAGAGGCGGCTGCGGAAGATATTGGTAATATTGCATCAATATTGAAAATGGCGGTTCCGGATCGAGTTCTTATGGCTAGGAGTTCCACAACTTCTTCTCCTATATCTTCAAGTACTTGTGCCTCAGATGATACTTCCGCTGCTTGTGAGAAGCCAGTCAGCGAATCGTCATACACTATACCCGTTATTCTAGGTGTTGTGTAAGTCTACTTTGTCTACCATCTTGGGTGAGTATCTTTGGATTCTAATCATTGAACTTGGATAGTATTCCTGTCGTTGGCGCCATCATTCTCTTTACCATTCTACAACGACGATATGTCAAGAAGGCTAGGGAAGAGGACGCGAATGATCCGACCAAAAATATGGACTTTGGTATGGGTAGGATTTCGAGAACTGCTGGTGGAGAATCAGCCAACACAAACTTCGATGATGAAAAGGGAGGAGCTGCGAGAACACGTCAAATGTCTTTAGATTTGGGAGTCAAAAGTCCATACTTACTTGCACCGGAAATACATAATTCTAGGGAAAGCCTCCATTCACTTTCAAGGACCATCCATCAAAACGAAGATCCTTATCGACCAGTACATCAAACCAACGGTGGTCCTGCTTCAATGCGCTCCAAACAAGGCCAGCATGGATCCTCCATTATGACTGCATCAAGCGCTGCTCCTTCAGCGAAGCACGATGTTGGTTCACCAGACGGACAAGGTCTTCTATCGAATGCCGCTTCTATGTCACGAACAACTCCACCTTCTAATGGCTTCACTCCACCACCGAGATCAAACTCTATTCCAACTGCAAACATGCCAGCGGAACCTAGACAAGCTACTTCTCCACCGCAAGATGTTGCCAGGAAAGGTCTATCAGGTAACCCACGTCCCCACAATGGTTTTTCTTCTACTAGCCCCATTCCTATACTCTATCTGGATCGGGAATCCTCTGCTGGAAACCAATATGCCGCGATCAGACGTAGTAACAATTACCTAGGCTCTACAATCATATCGGATCCATCCGCTGCTACTGCAACTGGCCCTACCGAACCAAAGCCAACTACAACTCGCAAGGCACCTCCTCCAGCGATCAACACTCTACCATTGAATCCAAAATCTGTCCAACAAGAGCAATCCAAGCCTCGCAACTCTGAGATTAGTAACTATGGTGACGGGATTGAGGTCACACCACCATCTCCTGCCCGTGAAAACAACAAAAATAATTCAAACCGTTACTCTATGGATGTCCCACCTGAAGAATTTGCTCACGCTGGTTTGGGAGCTCCTGGGTTTGATCCTAAAAGACTTTCCATGGGTTTCCGACCATTGCCTCCTGATGCTCCAAAGGATACTTCAGAAGATTCTGAAACTCGTGCTAACAGAATTCGTTCATTTTACAAGGAATATTTTGATGACTCGAAACCAGCACCACAGGGTCAATATATTGAGGATTATGATGCGAACTATCCTGTTCCAGGCGATGCTACCTACTTTGACCCCGCTTCCAATAGTTTCGTCCTACCATACGCAGAACCTATTACTCGTCGTGCTATGACACCACCTCCACGTGCACCCAGGTTTCAAGGAGCACCACCACGTTCCATGCATGGTTCAATGGGTGGTTCTTCAATGCGCGGGCCTCCGAAAATGCCATTCAACGAAGGACCAAGAGCAAGTTCATCTGCGTCCCAACGTGGTCCTATGCCATCTCCAAGAAAGAATTTACCTCCTCCTGAGCCGCTTAGCTCGCTACCTACACCTTCCAAGATGACGGATGACTCATTTGCTTTCTTGAATACTCTCGATTTCGCGCCAGAATTGACCGTTCGTGATCGTGTTGCTGGTCGATCCGAGAGTCCTTTTGGTGAGAGACGACCATACTCTCCAGGACTTCCAGCATTTGCACCAATTGTCGGAGCATATGATGAACTTGCTGCAATGCCAAGCCCGTAAGCTACTTCTTCAATGAATTTTTTCATGATTAGCAATAAACTAATTTTTGTGTAGTCACATGTTGAGAAAGTCTGGTACATTCACATCCCTTGATTTCGCTGCTCCAAAGAGATTCAAGGATCCAGATGTAATGAATGATGCTGGTAGTATCCGAAGTAACAAAAGTGGAATATCATCGGTTCAGCAAAATGCTATCCGTAATGGAGCATATCGTATCAGCAAGCTTCCTACAGATATCGTCGGCACAAAAGATGATCTGGCTACAACATTGAAACCGGAATGGGGTCATCGTTAGGGCACTTGATATTACAGGCCTTTCACCATAAGGTTTCTTTCTTTTTTCATTGTGGAAGCATTTGAGCGCGCATTTTCGATTTTCTCCACCACATTGAAACTCGCACACCTGTCAATATTGAGCTCCCTTACCTTTCTCGAGATAGTAATGTCAAGAGCATTTATTCTATTTGATGTAGCTTTGTTACTACCCTCTCACTACCCTAAAAGGGCTTTGTTTTTTTGTTTTTTTTTGTTAGGGGATTCAAACGTCAACCAGGATTGAAGGAGTAAATCTGGAAGAAGTGATGAAGTGGTTGAAGTGATTTGGATTGGATTGAAGGAATGGATTGTTGGTTTGCTTAATGTCTTTTTCTGTAATAGATGGATACATTTGGAGCCTTGGGAGTTTTTCGCGATACACATACTAGGGCTTTTGATGGAATTGCATATAGACATTACAACAACAACAACACAGATTGTGGGAAATTGACAGAGAGATGAGAAATGGTGGGATTTTAAGAGATGATGAGAGAAGAGAAGAGGAGAGAAATAGATTGATGGTGGGATGGACAGGGGAAATGTTGGGTGGGTAGTCATGGTAGTAGTCGGTTAGTCTTTCTTGTATAAATAAATAAAAAAAAGAATATTGATATACATTCTTATTGGGACTCGTGTTTGTTTGCATTTGGATTGGTATTATATGACAATTTTCAGTGGCTGGATGAATGGATAGAGGGATGAATGACTCCTTGCTAATTCTTTTTATGCATGCATGATCTTGAAATATTTGTAGGGTGGGTAGGTAGGTAGTTGGGTAGGTAGGCAGGTAGGTAGGTAGTAGGTGTGTTTGTGTATGGTATAGTATGGTATGGTATGATATGTATGTATGTATGTATGTATGTATGTATGTATGTATAATATGGTATGGTTTTTGGCCAACTCTAAGATTCCTAGGCGGAACTGATCAAGAGGAGTAGAGTGGGACAGGAGAAGGGGAGGGGGAATGGGAATGGGATTTTGGGCGAGGTCGGGAGTTGGGAAGGTGGGGAGGTGGGGAGGTGGGGAGGTGGGGAGGAAGATGGATGGAGATGGGGGTAACGGGAGATTAGAGATGGGTATGGGAATAGGGATGAGAGTAAATAATCAAAAATATTATACATCCAATTCTTTATTTAATATTTCTTATTATAAATTAGATTCTTTGAATCCCGATTCACTCTGGTCGTGTCGTCGATTGCGATTGCGATTGCGAGATGAAAGAAAAGAATACTGACTGTGGTATTGATGAGACTATCAGGAGATAGTTGGAGATGCTTGGAGATAATTGGGGATAGATTAGTTGATAGTAACAAACCAGTTTAAGAGAGTTAATAAAGCCAAGAGTGTACAAGATAAGACTCGGAGGCTGCTAGATATATGAGTAGTTGATTGTATGATACGATGGATTGGATTAGATTAGATTAGATTAGATTAGCTATACTTTGTTGATATGATATTAATGGGATGGGCGTCTAAGAATGCCAGTGAGTAAGACAACTAACTGACTGCACTGCACTAGTAAGGGTTGAGTAAGTTGTTGCTGGTTTGTTGCTAGATAGGAGGATATGAGGATATGAGGATACAGTTTGGAATGGAATGGAAGGTGGAACGATGTGATGTGATGTGGTGTGATGTGATGTGATGTGATGTGATGTGGTGAAAGAGCGAGAGCAAGAGCAATGATTATGGTGGTGGTGGTGGGGATTGAAGGGGATTGAAGGGGAATACTGGTACCGGTGCCGGTGCGGTAAGTCAACTCTAATTATTGAAATTACTCTTCGAGGAGAAGGGGCTAAACTCAATCAATGCAAGAAGTGATCCGATCGCTTCACACTACCGGTATCGATTTTCTTTCTTGCGCGGGGTATGTTCGAGGGAAGAATAAGTAAGGGTCTAGATTACTCTGTTATCTAGAAGCTTTTTTTATAAGGCGGAAGGCGGGAGGAAGTGTTAAGAACTTAAGATGGCTTGGAGTGGATGATAAGGTTAGATGATGGTGTGAGGTATTAACTGGAATGGATGATGAAGAGGCGTTGAAGCGAATGTTGATGTATGCTATTCTAAGCTTGGAATTATACGAGTATAATTGATGATATTCACTGATGCACTAATTGTATATGAAGGCGATAAGAAGCAGGCTAGAGTAGAGCCATGTTCCATTTCTATGAGGAGCTATGCAAGCGTGTGGAGAAAACGGAGGTTCGCTTATAATACGCTTCTTTAGTAGGCACATTACTCAGTTATCGTGTGTGATTCATGGGGGGATCGAAGTCACTCTCGGAAACGAAATCGGATATACAGAGGATATGAAGCTACTTGTATATTAAGTCGGAATTGTTGCTAGGCGAGTCGAAGCAAGACATTTCACTTCGATCCGAATCCTCGAGAAATCTTCTTTCTACTTTAGGATCTCCCTCTGAGTCGTCTCTCTTGGTACTGATATTGTTGACTCTCATAATCAATACTGGTATCCCAATAGCTACATTTCGATCAAAAATATCCGTGGGGATGTTAAAGAGATTCCGCCGCTATTAACTGATTTATTTGAAGGTTTGAGGAGATGATTCTTACGAGATGAATAGAACCTCGAACAATTGTAGATTTGTCTCAAATTAATCCTCTTCGTGACTCTTCCTTTAATGCCACTGGACTCTGAGCTCTATTTTCGCTTGTGTGTATTGATTGGTACTTCAAGAGGTTTTGGGAGGTGTAGTCTTAGATGATATCGTCAGAGTTAAAAGAGGGAATAGTAATAGTATTTTCTGTAGAATATAGAAGAGGCTGTAAAGATACTAGTATTTATCTCGATAACTTAACAATATTGGTATTAAATACTCATTCGAATGAGAAAAATTAGATAGCATTGTTTTATATACAGTATACTGTAATAGGAAAATATCCTATTGATCTTTCTAGAAACTATCAAGTATATACTACATAGCTTGTCAATATACAAATCCCATAAAAATCTTTCCAAGAACAGTTGCACTGGTATGGGTGACTTACTCTCGTGATAAAATTTGATGACTAGTTCTGATGTTCTCATAAGGTATGACAATAGTAAATACAATGGTGTTTGCAATACAGTTATTTCCTGTGCTTTTCCGGGAGAGTTGGTCAATACTGGTTTTTTGCTGTCAATTATTAGGGATCCCATATTTTTGTGTGGCGACAACAACTGGAACAAAAACTTTGATGAGGAACAATCATGGAAGAGGAAACGAATATGGTAACGCGGCAAGTCGTTTGCGGGTTCATTTATTTGCAAGTTTCCACCCACCTGTGAATGGTGATGGGAGGTCTTGATAAGCTGTGGTTACTTTTATTTTTGTAACTGGAAGGTTATATTTATATAACGGTAGTCTACTTGAGTAGTCATACTAAAATTGAGATAGAGAAGTATAAATACGAATGATCAAGTAAGTATTCGAAAGGTATACATACCTAAGAGCAATTTCGGCCGAATACAAAAGGCATGGGCAATGTGATGGAAAGCAGCATGACACCAATGTATAGGTGGAAGAATAAATTGATATAATACTTCCTAGCAAATATTTTCACAGCAGGTGAAATGCCAGAGGTAAATTTTATAATCAGAGCCAGACTATTTTCGAAGGTACTGACTTTTAATTCGAGAATTGATGTTTCGCTGTTATTTCTTCATGATGCTTCTCGTCGCCATCCATGCTCAGATACTTCAATCGACGAGGGAGACTATTGACTATGACAACGAGGACATATTCATATAAAGCGAACGGAGAGAGGTATAAATTGCTAGGTTTTTGAAGTCCAATGATTTCCGGGTCTACCTTCTCAGAATTCCTATATGAGTAAAGTGTATAATCACATCGTTGACGAAAAATTCATAACTCGAACAAGCGGTATTTATATACTTAAGGAAAGAGAATGAGCTATTCGACTGTTAGAGAGAAGGGGGAGAATGAGAGGTCTTCGATTGTATGGGAACTTGAATCGAGATGCTAGCAAATTCATAAGTATAAGAGGGACTTTGGGCAGAAAATTCACATTATAAAGACAGATATAGGGTATTTGGCGTAGAAAGTTTAATGTGTTCGGCTTATAATCAGATATAGATATTCACAGCTCGATACTGTGATATGAGAATGAACTCGATGCATTTCAAAATTTCGCTAGTGATTTTCGCTGTTACGTTTACGTTTTTGCTATCATCACATTGATCTCCTCATGTTTTATGATCAATAAAACGATGATATATATTATAACTGGATAAACGGATAAAGCTGAAAGCCTGACGAGACTATATACAAAAACTTGAGAGTATTACTGAGAATACTGAGTCCCCTGTGCTGATCTGCGTTTTACTCATATACAAACTTGTTCTCAGACTAATTGAGAAAGATACCATTTATAACAAGCCAAACAGAAGCTATTCAATCCGAGTCTCGAAACTTGGTGTGACCACTGATTGACTGTCGATCATCGCTTCTTTTCCATATTGGCGGTACTCGAATCTATGGTCGACTATTAAAATCGCTTCATTTTCGAGATACACCCCTACTGAAATACTACGCAGATGTTCTCCACGGAATAGATCAGAACGATATAGTGATTTCAGTATCGATTGACATCAGACCCTTTCTTACATCTTGAAATAAATGATAAACCCAATGTATCTGCAAGATATCACTCCATCGCCATGTTTTTTTACAGTCAATCTACGCAAGCGCTGTCGTTGATCCAATTATCAGTTAATGGGATTGCCATGAAAGAAGTCTTCGGTACGGAAGTTTACGAGATCGGAAGCAGAGTCTAGAACTTGTAAAAGCATATAATCAGTCAAACTTACTGGGTACAACAATGCTAAGTCGTGTTGCATTGGTTTTGAAAAGCTGACTATTCATATTCTTGATTTTAAAAGAGAAGAGAAGAGGGTGGCCTCAAGCTATACGTCCAAGAGGAATGTTATCTTAGGCTTAGCCTCTGCGGTGGTGAGATTAG